ATCAAGCCATAGACTACTCACATCTCATTAGTAGCAGCGTGCGTTACAGCGATTCTAATGGGACAGGACTAGCCTATGTACTGAAGACATTCATCGTATTTGTCTATCATCACCCACATTGTCATACAACGGAGCTGACATCAAGCCATAGACTACTCACATCTCATCAGTAGTGTACAGCGTTACAGCGATTCTAATGGGACAGGACTAGCCTATGTACTGAAGACATTCATCGTATTTGTCTATCATCACCCACATTCTTTGTCATACAACGCCCTAGTAAGAAGTCCAGATTTTACAACAGCCGCTTAGGTACCGAGAGAAGGGAATCGGGACCAGACCCAAATTCAATTACGCTTCTTGCAACGGACGGCAAGTACTACTCTTCCTTTTTGAAAGCAACCAGCTGGAATTAATAACCCAACAGTGCGAAATACCTGCTTCACGAGTGTACACAATTGAGAGCTCGAAGCAAAGGTGGTCCCGTAACAGAATGACGCGTAGTAGTTGAGAGCAGTAGGCGTATTGTTTATTTGAGACGTATAACGATGAGGAGGCAAACCGAAAAGGTAATGCAGATTACAGTGGACTGTCACCACCAGAAAAGGTTGTAAAGAGAAAAGAAGTGTGAAGCTGGTCACTATTGCACATGATCGATAGTTAGGTTCAAAGAAAGACAACTTAATGGGCTTTAAAAGACAACTGTGGAAAGGGAGAATTACCGCCGATGGAGGAACTAATGATCCGATATCACAGGCATTAACAGCGGCGCATGAAATGAAACTGGAAAACAGTGGTCGGATGGCAAAAGAACATGCTTGAGATCGACAAGTGTCAAAGCGATGACGAACGAAAAGCAGTTATACGATGGAAGAAGTAAGACGGTAGGACAGTCACGTATGGGTGGAGTTTACACGCCAAACAATCGCATGGGCGCCAGAGCCCATTTGGCGTAGACGGCTGAAGCTATCGAACACGAAGGAACCTGAAAACGGATGGAATAAATGTCTGAAAAAGGAAATTGATGAAAAACCAATATGTCCAATAAAAGCATGCAGGAGGGCAAGCGGAATGATAAAAACTACTGATCCGTGCCTCCGAAGAGGTTATTCATTTGAATGGCTTTTCAAGTGGGCAAGGTGTGTATGATCCAAACTGACGAGATGTTGGTAGTCATGAGAGAATACAGAACGACTTCCCCGTGGTAAACTACAGTACTTACTAATACTTACCACCAGTTCGCATGATAAGGGGAATCTTGTAATTCGCCCGAGAAAGGACGCTACAGAGTAGAAGATATTCCCATCCCTTCCGGATAGGGGGTGGAGTGAACACTCTTCAGGGAGGAATACAAACAACCGTGGCTGAGGCAAAATGCGCTTCTCAAGAGGATAGCTCCTCTTTGGGGAGGACCACGTTTACGTAACACGGATAGACAAAGCGGACGTTCGCAAGATGGCAAGATGCCTTTTACAATAGTTAGGCCAGATGTAGAGGATTTGACTGAGGTTTAATCAATGCATCCGTCTACCCGACTCAAAAACGTTGCCGAAAGCTTAGTGGAAAAGATGGTTACTTGCTGCTAGTAATCGGGGGACAACCGATAGACCGGAACAAGTTGATCTGTGGGTGATCGGTGCGTGTACGCGTTTGGTTCACTGGCATACTTGTTCGGTCGTACTCTACGATGAGAGACAGGTCGCTGAATGGATAATATGACAAGCAATGCACGGCCGATGTCCGTTTCCGGGGCGCTTGTCACACTGGACAGCGCACCAACGTCGAACGGAGCATGCTTAAACAATAAGCGCTTTCAAGGCCAAGAATTATTTGTATAAATCGCCACACCTCCCCCACACTAGCTTCTGTAAATCGAGACTTAGCTACATTGAAACTTTTACGCTTGGGATCACAAACCTACAGAAATGTCACAAAAAACGTTCTTCTCGAATCAACTTGGCCGGTGATTACTGACTACCATCTGCAAATCACTGACGCGTTTTTGCATGCGTGTTGGATCAGTATTCGATATCGAGCTTCATATACGCAAAATAACCGGTTCCAAAAGCTTGCTGTGGCTACCATCATCTCGAAATGGAGGCACTTCTGGGACGCTGAATGTGTCGCATCGTTACTGGCTACTTTTGGCTAATCTGCTGTTTATAACTGGTGATTTATAGCCGAATAGATTGCAGTCTGTCGTTCGAAATCGAACTATGCCGATGGAACCGATAAACCGACGATCGTCTAGAAACGTCCGACATAAGTTAAATACGAAGGGATAGGTGAACAGAGGTGAGCAAGAATGCTGAACTACCTGTCAGTAATGATCGAATCAGGTGGAGAAACAAGACGATTGATGTCAAAGATGAACCGGTGGACCATACCAATCACAGGACGCAGAAGATATACTAGCCGGTGAGGTCGAAGTAGCAATTCCGTAAAATGGAAATTCACGGGGCTTTTTCGGTTCTTCTAGGACGAGGCCTTCTAATGGGAAGATGGCTCACTGAATCCAGGTTCCGCTGACCGTTTGCGGCACCACTGTCATGGGTTATTCTACCTAATACTGCCGGTACAACAAGCTAATTCAAGCATCACATTCTGGATTGTCCAGTATTACACGGCTCACCACTTACGGATCGAAGTGGGAGACAAGTGGCCATAATGTTGCTAGTCACACGATTATGGTGTTGATCATGGCCTAGTTTACTTGGGCCAGCACGAAACCAAGGAAGACAATGTGGAGTCATTCAATCCGCCTCGTGATTAAGCGAGCGTTTCAGTTAACGAAATAGCTATTGCAATAAAAAAAAGTACCTGACGCAGGGAAGCATTCGTTTCTCGAATCATCCACCTGAAGAAGCCACACAAGGTGTAATGAATAATCCGAACCATAGGTTACGCATAATCTAGATTCCCGACCAGAAAGATTGTTCAAAAGAAAACCTACCTGTGGCCTGATCACCAGCAGCTTGCTCCGACGCTTGTAACTGCTGCGGACGAAGGTGAACATAATCGTGGCCCACAGCAACGACCAGAAATTCACCCACTGAGTTGGTGTCTGACAGGGGTAGGGTTATCAACAGAGAAGGATGGGCCTTACATACCGAGCAAGTGCAAAGATTGAAGGGTTCGATCTGCGTGGTACATCTCTAGAGGTCTTCGTATTGTCCGCTGAGTTCTACACAAGGCTAAATTGTATGTCATACTAGACTCGACTGAACTACAAGTTAAAAGCGACGGAATGCCTTTCCAACAGGATCCACGCACAACTACCAGAGGAGCTCCGGGACGGATACGGATACATTAACCAGTGACAGTCCGAGTCAACTTTTAAGTGACTTCGCCTCAACTTCACGGACTCTAGGTGAACCGCTTGAGCCAAGTTAGATAAAATAAACCCATTTTTACAAATATTTGCCTGATAACTCCACGCCAGATGAATGGTTGGCAAGATAATGCTGAAGAAGGAATGTCAGCGGGTTGTGATGCAGTCCGCAATGTGAGTAATTGTCTAAAACGGTTTGGGATGCCTCAGTCTGGTTGAGAGTGTAATTCGTCTCTTGATCCCTTTGAAATACTCTCCAGAAGACCTCGGGAAGGCCTATTCACTGACAGACGTGTTCCACCAGAGGGTGCGGAAAGTTGTCAGACAACATAGACAGAACAACGGTTCTTTATTTGTCCGTCCAGAGAAATCGGCTCCCAAAACGCAAAGATCACGATGGCCGTTCTGGCCAACCACACTATACCAGCTACCTGCATCAGAGGCTGCAAGGCTGTGGGTTCCCAGTCGAACGAAGTCTGGATAGTGTTTGAGAACTAAACTTCGAAAAGGTGATAGTGTTTCTGAGAAGCAATTCAGTGTTTCAAACGAAGAATTCCAGCTGCTGTTACACACTACTGTATTATTTGTAAGCCACAAAACTGTGCGGTGAATGGATCCAAAACCAGATTTAAAGAGATTGTGTTCATTCGGGGAAATTTCCAGTGCAGTTTCACAAACTGCTGAAGAAGTGTATACTAAAAACAGACAAAGTCAAACTTGCGAGGACGACTAGTCCACACATCGTGGTGAATTGTGAAGGACTGATAAAGTTTACGGAGACTCAAACCATTTGCCGGCCTCTTAGGTATTATTTCTGCTGTGCACCGTATCGTCCCAGTCAAAGACAATGCGTTCCCGATAAAGTGGCGCCAAACTTCCGACAGAATCATTCAGACTCCCGAAGCGCATTCACCGTCTCACAGACTTTCAGTTTCTCAGTCTTCAAGCAGATGCATGGGCGCTCGACTTGAAGGTCTCACGTAAGAGGTAGGCAACCTCTCGTTTATGACGTTCTCAGGCAACTAAATGTGCTGCACCAGGCCGCCTCATGTTTCAGTCGCTA